GCGTGAGTGCGTGCGTGCGTGCTCAATGGCAGTCTTGATGTCCCAAAGAATGCATTCACGTGCGGCAGTTTCATTTCTTATAGGATTTTGGGAATCTGCTTTGCAACTCTGGCTGCGGCCAGGTGATTCTGTTCCCTAGCTGGCCAGGGGCACCTGTGGACCCCTGCTGGCCAGGGACACCTGTGGACCCGTGCTGGCCAGGGGCACCTGTGGACCCCTGCTGGCCAGGGGCACCTGTGGACCCCTGCTGGCCAGGGACACCTGTGGACCCGTGCTGGCCAGGGGCACCTGTGGACCCCTGCTGGCCAGGGGCACCTGTGGACCCCTGCTGGCCAGGGGCACCTGTGGACCCCTGCTGGCCAGGGACACCTGTGGACCCGTGCTGGCCAGGGGCACCTGTGGACCCCTGCTAGCCAGGGACACCTGTGGACCCGTGCTGGCCAGGGGCACCTGTGGACCCCTGCTGGCCAGGGACACCTGTGGACCCGTGCTGGCCAGGGACACCTGTGGACCCGTGCTGGCCAGGGACACCTGTGGACCCCTGCTGGCCAGGGACCTTTACCTATACTGTAAACCATAATTATTACCATAAATATTATAGTGAGTGATGATGCAATATGCTAACAGCAACAAACAGAATGACAAGTGTTCCATTAACTCCATACAAATATACCCGATATGACACATATAAATCATTAACAAACAATAAAGTAAACATTTTAACTGTGTCATTTCGCTACGTAATTCGACACAATACATAAACTATTATTCATTTTCCACCTTCAGCATTGTAGAACCACATAACAAACACATAACAGGGGGAGCCGGTCGGCCGAGCGGACAGCACCCTGGACTTACAATACAATACAATACAATACAATACAATTTTATTTAGGTAAGGTACATACATACAATAAATATTTACAAGGATTGTTTGACTTATAGGTAGAGCTAGTACATACAATGCCTAAAGCCACTATTACGCAAAGCGTTTCGGGCATGATAAACTTAAATGACAAGCTTAATACTAATTGAGCATAATGAGTAGAATGAAAACAAGAAATGAAAACATAGATGAAAAAGCAGCACAAATACAATTATGTCGACAAACAGCGCTCTTTAAAGAAAAAAACAGACATTGGTTGACAATAGAAGGGTAAGGTAGGTTACAGGGAATTTATTAGGTATAGCTTCACTTTTAACTTAAACTGGTTGAGAGAGGTACAGTCTTTAACATGGTTGGGAAGGTCATTCCACATTCTGGGCCCCTTGATTTGTAGAGCATTTCTAGTTTGATTAAGTCGTACTCTAGGAATATACTTGTGATCTTGTGAATACTTGTGATCCTGTGGTCCTGGGATCGATCCCAGGCGCCGGCGAGAAACAATGGGCAGTTTCTTTCACCCTATGCCCCTGTTACCTAGCAGTAAAAATAGGTACCTGGGTGTTAGTCAGCTGTCACGAGCTGCTTCCTGGGGGGTGGAGGCCTGGTCGAGGACCGGACCGCGGGGACACTAAAAAGCCCCGAAATCATCTCAAGATAACCTCAAGATAACCACGGCACAAGAAAATATCACCGGTAGTCATCACTAATGATGAAGAACGGCAGTTAGAAAACAGTGTAAAGTATCATAAAGCATTATACTATTTGTGCATATAATGAGCCATGATATTGCTCCCTTGCAAGACTAATGAGTGTAAACACTGGCACGTGAGGTGTGAGGGACTAATTACACAAACTAATAATTATTCTTGCTTCTGGGTAGTGGTGTTTTGTGATGGCTTATGTCTCCAAGGTGTAGATAATGGGTCTTAGTCTCCTCAAACTTTGCTTCCACCTTTGCTTTGATGGTCCCTCAAGACTGTTACTGTTGCAATAGCAACAGCAACAACAGTAGCAACAGCAACAGTAGCAACAGCAACAGTAGCAACAGCAACAACAGTAGCAACAGCAACAACAGTAGCAACAGCAACAAGAGGAACAACTACAACAACATGGCCGTCGACGTATCAACGCCTCCGACGATAATTTTCAATAACAAGACTAATAAAGATAATTATATTATTAGGTCATGAGCCTGAACACTTAAGGCAGCAGCAGCAGCAGCACAGGTGAGTCCTGTGAGCACCTGTCTGGCCCTGGCACACCTGGGCTCCCTCCGCTATATGATCTCATTAACGGCTTTACCTGCACATCCGGATGCCTTAATGTTGGCATAAGGTGCGTGTGTATGTCTGAGGTGCTGCCGTGTCTGCTCCTGTGTGTACTTAGTTGTGCTTGCGGGGGTTGAGCTCTGCTCTTTCGGCCCGCCTCTCAACTGTCAATCAACTGTTTCTACTTGTCTACTAAGACAACAGCTTCGAGGACAACAGCTTCGAGGACAACAGCTTCGAGGATATCAGCTTCGAGGACAACAGCTTCGAGGACAACAGCTTCGAGGACAACAGCTTCGAGGACAACAGCTTCGAGGACAACAGCTTCGAAGACAAGTCGCCATAGTGTAGGACAGAGAACAGGAGAAGCTTGTCAGTCCTGGTGAAATATACCCGTGGACCAGACTGTCAGCTGAAGCCGTAACAACTAAGGCAACGCTAGAGATATTTGTCCCTCAGGTAAATTCAGGTAAATAAAGTTTCCAAGTGCCTTAGTCGTACTGGCTTTGTGTTTTTTCTTTATCACCTTACTTTACAGCAGGACATTGTTTTAAAAAAATAATTATATTATGTCATTCTATCCAATATTATTATTAATATTATTATACGATACAATGTTATACCGTTTTACTGGATATAACATTGTCGTCGTACGGGTGGCAGGGAAGCGCGGTGGTGGGCGGGGCCTAGACATTGTGTGGCGCCAATATAACATGACTGCCAGACGTAGACATCAAAGCAGCTGCCATTAGCAGCGTCTACCTGCATTATCTGCCACTGATGACGCAGCTTCTGTAGTGCTCGGGAGCCTCGACTACTCTCCTGCTGTCTGGGTCCTCTAGCGCGGTGGTAGACTACTAATTCCTTGGCTCACAACCCGGGGTTTACGGGTTCTATTTCCGCCTTAAGGCAGACAGGGTCTTGCACGTTTTCTTTCATCTTGTACCTCTGTTCGCTTAGCTGTGAATAAGTACTCGGGAGTTGAGTAATTTGTAGGGTTATATTCGGGGGAGTGAGTTCGACCTTGGGAGTGATATATATATATATATATATATATATATATATATATATATATATATATATATATATATATATATATATATATATATATATATATATATATATATATATATATATATACAATATAATAAAGAAGGGAGTACCACCTCTAGCTGGAAGAAGGGGGACCCATAGCCTCGGAGGAAACCACGCATAACGCATTAGAGGGAATGTTTAGATCCCCTCCAATACAGTTTCTGTGTGCTTTTCTCCTACCACCCCCTTCCTTGAATATTTTTTGTGCTTTATTATGCATTTGATGGGGGGGATACAAAAATAATAACAAAAATAAAGGGATAAACAATGGGAAATAGGGACGGGTTCGCAGAAGGCTGAAGTTATTGGCATTTCCCCTCTGAATCGCAACCATACGAGGCATCTCCTATCTAAACACGAGGGTCTCCGAAGATTAATCCAGTGTAATTGGCCTGTTATGTTGGGCATTGTCTTCTGTGTTGGCATCGATATGTTCTTGTCTTGTCCTTACTCTCATGGTGGGTAGAGTAAATAGTTCCGTGATTTGGGTGTTCATGGTAGGTCGCTCTATTCTTATGTGAATTGCCTCAAGAATTATGTAATCTTCTTGAATCTTGGCTGGTTTTGTCATAGTTCCCGCTGTCTCTCTATACGCTCTGGTAAGTATTGCTGTTGTTCAACATTTCTCTTGTTAGAGTAATGTCATGGGCTTGTCTCATGTGATTCCTAGGCACTTGTGAGAAGGTAGAGGGCACCAGATCCTTGAAGATGGTCAAGGACTGTCAAACGCCTCGTCAGCTTGGTCGACGTCATACCTATGTACTTACATTGAAGGTTACATCCTTCGTGGGGGCAAGTGTACATGTATACAACGCTTGACTGCTGTAGTCTGGGTAATTTTCGAACCGTCGGCTTCGGGTCACCCTGTTGAATTCCCTCTGCTGAGGTGACTTATATATCTTTGCTGTATACGGGAGAATGGGCAATATAGTGAGGATTTGATAGTTGAAATTTATATATCTATTTTACTATCTTCATAAGAGATATATGTCGTACCTAGTAGCCAGAACGCACTTCTCAGCCTACTATGCAAGGCCCGATGGGTTGCCTAATAAGCCAAGAATGGTTTTTTCTGAATTAACATAGTTTTCTCTAACGTTGTTTTTTCTTATGAAATGATAAAGCTACCCATTTCATTATGTATGAGGTCACCCCTGTGTTTTTTATTGGAGTTAAAATGAAACGTAGATATATGACCGAACCTAACCAACCCTACCTAACCTAACCTAACCTATCTTTATGGGCAAAATTTTGTTAGGTTAGGTTAGGTAGCCTTGGGAAAAGTTAGGTTAGGTTAGGTTAGGTTAGGTAGGTTAGGTAGTCGAAAAACAATTAATTCATGTAACAAACTTGGCAAGGTTATTAGGCAAATTTCCCTGCAGCAAAAGGGCGAGAGGCCTTTGGGATGTGGGTGAGGTCCTTGACGTTGCATAGTAGGCTGAGAAGTGCGTTCTGGCTACTAGTCACCATGCTGGCGTACGACAGAGTTGATGCTGACGATATATGCATAGGGGTGAGCTATATATCCCTTAGGTAAATGAATGTCACCTTATATATATATATATATATATATATATATATATATATATATATTATACGGGATTTGCTATTTATTTACTTCTTAAAATATTAAGTGATAGAATTCATCGAGACGATCATTATTATTTTTTTGTAATGACAGATTACTTAAGTTGTCTACATTAAAGGCAGATGCAGAAAATTAAGTTTAAAAAGCTGCTGTCTGCTCAGTCATAAAACATGTCATAGTTCACCTTAGTAAAACTTTACTAAGTAAACCTTTGTAAACATTTACTTAGTTTTAGTTTTACTTAGTTTTAAAACTTACAACTATTTGTTATGGAACTATAAACCCCTTAAACTACTGTTACCTAGCAGTAAATAGGTACCTGGGTGTTAGTCAGCTGTCACGGGCTGCTTCCTGGGGGTGGAGGCCTGGTCGAGCACCGGGCCGCGGGGACACTAAAGCCCCGAAATCATCTCAAGATAACCCTCTGGTTTGTTATTTTACACCAAAGATGTGTACCACAGCCTCTCTGTGTATGTTCACTGAGAGCGGAGACAGTTCTCAAGGGTAACGTGATTAGAACCAGACTCACATCCACCCCAACCACTTGGGCTGGACGGTAGAGCGACGATCTCGCTTCATGCAAGTCGGCGTTCAATCCCTGACCGTCCAAGTGGTTGGGCACCATTCCTTTCTTTTCGTCCCATCCCAAATCCTTATCCTGAACCCTTCCCAGTGCTATATAGTCGGAATGGCTTGGCGCTTTCTGCTTATAGTTGCCCCCCCCCCAAGCCACTTGGATAATTATCTAGATATTTGTGATTGTCTGAAAGCATATTACAGTTCCAATGATAGTCTGTTTGAAATCTGGCAAGTGAATCTTTGTTCTAAACGGAGAATATTCTCTAGTTCTAACCTTATTATATTATAAATCACTGGGATGACAAGACCACACATCAGAAGATGATGAGACGACGACGTTTCGGTCCGTGCTGGACCATTATCACGTCGATTGATATTGGTCCAGGACGGACCGAAACATGGTCGTGTCTTCGTGTTGTGGTGTGTTGTTGGGTCATATCTTCAGCCACGTTATTGTGACTCATCGTCTGCATAAAGCGATGGGTTCAAATATAAAAAGTCTATGCTTAATTCGTTTTCTTTGAAACGGTCTAAAGATTTTTTGTAAAGGAATTTCTATAGGATACTCAAATAGTTTTTTTAATTTCACGTTTCACATATTTGGGAATAATACACCACATTCATATAGCCAAACAGCGAAAACTAACCTCCCTGGAAACACAAACCGAAACTGTCTCTATTTTCCGCTTGTTACAACTTGTAATAAAGTTGTTACATCTTGGCTTAACGTGTTTATGACGTATTAGAACGTTGTTACAACTTACTATATTGGTTGTTATAACTGGTTAGGAGGTGTTAAAACTTGTTCGAACGTTGTACCAACGTCGTAGTTTCGGTCAGTGTTTGGCGGGCTAACCTAACCTAAACTTAACTTAAGCTAACCTAACCTAATCAAAACCTAGCCTAACCTAACCTAATCTTAACCTAATCTAACGATGCATATAGGGTAGATAAAAGCACTAATTACATAATGGTTTTTAAGTTATTACCCCCATGGCACCTCCTCCCCAGGGGGGTAGAAATAGCCTAAGCTACTCTATCCCTTTGAGATGTATTTCTTGCTTATCTCAATAAACATACTTGAACTTGAACCTCCTCCCTGAAGACTGGTTAAGGAGTACTCACCTAGTTGTGGTTGGGGGGGGGGGTTGAGCTCTGGCTCTTTGGTCCCGTTCTTGGGTGACCCCCCCGGGAAGTGGCGCCACCCCACCACCTGGCTGCTACAGAGAGTGTTCTTATAGCTGTAGCCCCGTTGTTGTGAAGACATTGTGTGTTGCTGATTAGATGCGCACACTCCCCCCACTCCCCCCTCCCCCCCCCGTCTCAGACAAGGGCTCCCAGGCAACGTCAGAACTGTGTTAATTATCACAGACGTAATGAGTCTACAATGGCTGATGATAAAACGTAATTATGTATGATGTATTACAACTGTTATATATATATATATATATATATATATATATATATATATATATATATATATATATATATATATATATATATATAATATGCAAGTTTTGTATTTTGTTGTATTATTATTGTAAAATATTTTAATGGTCTCTTGTCACAGGAAGTAATTACAATAAGGTGATTATGCTCGTATTTAACTATGGGTGTAATTATGTTGTAAATTAAACAGCAAATGTTAATTGGCTTTTGCAGAACCCCGTGAAACAAGCAATGTGCACGTGTACTTACCTAGTTGTGCTTGCGGGGGTTAAGCTTCGGCTCTTGGGTCCCGCTTCTCAACACTTAAACAACTGCTGTACAGGTTCCTGAGCATATTGAGCTTTATCATAACTATATACACCGTTTCACAAGTATATATGATAGAGCCCAATGGGCTCATGAATCAGTAAGTCAGTTGATTGACGGTTGAGAAGCGGGACCAAAGAACCGAAGCTCAAGCCCAGGTGATCCTGGAGTTCGGTGTAGTGTAATCCCTAATTAGGCGATTACACAAAGGTTCAGTTGCCAGTTTACAAGTAGACTATTATTGGAGCCGTAATATGCTTTCACACCGTCACAAATGTGTAGTAACTCTGCAGGTAGTGGTAGAGGGGGGCGGGGGCTTGCATGTAGTT